TTACTTTTTGCTATTTCTTTCAAGGTTTGCATTCAGCTAAGACTGCAATTTCACAGCTGACCCATGGGCTGCCTCCAAGAGGAAGTGTTCCTCTCCCTTCCCTAGCTGGAAGTAGTGAAATTCCACCTTCCCTCCCTTGCCAGCCACACAGCTCTGTTCCACCACTGCATACACAAGCTGAAACAATAGTGAGAGATCCCCACCCTGTAAGCTAATGTGGCTTCTTAAAAACATAAAACTAGTAATGCCGCCACTTGTTTTTTACGTGTTTCTTCAAGGAACTAAAGACACTACTGATTGGCTGGAAGCAAACCCAGTAAAGGACATAGGTTGGTTTGATTCAATGTAAAATTGGAATTATGTAAAATTAGTGCCTTGCATTTTATACACCTGCACTGCTTTTACAGATGTTACATTTTTCCTTTTTCCTATTTTATTTCAGCTAAAGTGTATTTTACTTCCACTTTACTACCTTAATTTTTTTTCTGCTGCATATTTTAATGTGCATGACCATCACATATGTCTATTTTTTCCAGCATCTCTTCTATTTCTCTTCTTTGTTTGTCAAATTACCCCTTAGAGCCAAGGCCAGCAAAGCCATGGAAGGTGTTTCAGTAGGCGGTGGGCTCTTGGCAAACTACATGCAGTGCTTTTGGCAGCTGCTATACTGTGTCTCCAGACCTGTCCTGTGTTTAGTCATCTAATGGTCTTTCTCAACCTTTTTTGTCCCTTTATTTACCATTTTTTCCCACAGCTTATTTTATGTTTAGAGCAACATAGGCTTAAAGCTCGATACGGTTATCAAAAATCTTCCACAACTTAGACCTACAACACTTTACACAGGAATCATTAATTGGATATAAGGATATACACATTTTTAATCCTGCTGCTACATGTCTACAACATAACACAAAAGAATCTGGTGAAATAATACATTAAAGCCCCACAGTAGCTGTTTCCCTTCTACCTGAAGGCTACACATGGAAAACTGAATTTTAAGTGATGCCACTGAGGTAATTTAAGCAACTCCATCTCCTTAGGTTAAATGCACACACACATGTTTGGAAGATCAAAGTCTAGTCAGAATTCTAGCCAATACCTGTTATCAGTAATACACAAATACAACTTAATTCAGTATTATGGAGTATTGTGTACAGTTCTGGTGTCCTCAACATAACAAGGACATGGAGCTGGTGGAGCAAGTCCAGAGGAGGGCCACGAGGATGACAAGGGGGCTGGAGCACTTCCTGTATGAAGATAGGCTGAGAAAGTTGGGGCTGTTCAGCCTGGAGAAGAGAAGGCTGCGTGGAGACCTCATAGCAGCCTTCCAGTATCTGATGGGGGCCTACAAGGATGCTGGGGAGGGACTGTAGTGGTAGGACAAGGGGTAATGGCTTCAAACTTAAACAGGGGAACTTTAGGTTAGATATAAGGAAGAAGTTCTTCACAGTGAGGGTGGTGAGGCACTGGAATAGGTTGCCCAAGGAAGTTGTGAATGCTCCATCCCTGGAGGTGTTCAAGGCCAGGCTGGACAAAGCCTTGGGCGACATAGTTTAGTGTGTGGTGTCCCTGCCCATGGCAGGAGGGTTGGAACTAGATGATCTTAAGGTCCTTTCCAACCCTAACTATTCCATGATTCTATCAACGTACATGACAACATACACAGAAAAGGCAATAAATTTCTCAATTATTTAATGAAACTGGCTATTTTTACCTCATTGGTATCTTTAATGTCATAAAGATAGGCAATTTTATAATATTTTATGATTTTAAAGTATTTTAACATCAATATCACCTGCACATTTATAAAGCACAGCCTGTTTTCCAAAAAATACAAGTAAGCTTTAAGCACTTCAGATAGTTGAAAATTAGCCTTAGATTTTTTATTTATTTTCTGGTAGAAAAGATCAGTAAAAGCTGAAAATTTTAAACTCAAAAGTTATGAGCAAATGCTTATAATAATCTTACCCAATAGATACCATGTATTTAAAAAGTACTTAAAATTTCAGCTGTATTTCTGGGACTTCATCCCATATAGGTATGGTTTAAATGACCATGAATTAAAAGAACCCA